TGTGTGTGTGTGTGTGTGTGTGTGTGAGAGAGAGAGAGAGAGAGAGAGAGAGAGAGAGAGAGAGAGAGAGAGAGAGAGAGAGAGAGAGAGGGTTGAATATGGTAGGATCAGTAGGAAAGTTCTATCTGGAAAGTTAAAACTTAAAACTAGGGTCCGTGTATTCGTAGAGATACAGAATAGGGGATAGCATGGAATATCTATGAACGACCGGAAAGGTTGAAGATGAGAATAGAGTCTCATGGATTCACACTGAGCATAAAGGCATCGGTAGTTCAGGCATGGGTTGAATAAGTAGACGGCGGCCTTTAAAAAAAAAAAAAAAAAAAGGACAAAGTGGTGGCGGTGTCATGGTGTGAGTTTCGAATTGTGCGAGTTCAGCGGGGGTCTAAAACTTTGCCAGTCATTACCCGCACTGGCGCTTCGCAGGGACCCGCTAAATTTGCCTAATATTCTGAACATTGGGTGTGCCTCCAACATACTTGCCTTGCCCCCCCCCCCCCCCCCCAAAAAAAAAAAAAAAAAAAAAGACAGAAAGAACAGAGAGTGGGTCGAGAGGGGAGATCAAGTGTAGGTGGAGGGAAGAGTCAAATTCTGCCGAGTTTGAGTCTGACAACTCTCGTCCCACTCTCAATTTTTCAGGTTGAATCAAGAGCGGTGGAGCGAGGCCCTTACACTGATCTTTGTAGTGGGCCGTACTCCTCTACTGACCAAATGGGCAAAATGAGAATGAATGTTCCGCTAGGACATGGGAAGATAGGCCACCATAATTTTTGTCTTTTGTGCATGTGCTAAGCAGTGGAGCAAGGCCCACTGTCGACATGAAGCCCAGACATCAGCAATCATTTGTTTGAAGAATAATTCTGGGTAGGATAGAGGCTTTGCACAGGGGCTTTAAAAAAAAAAAAAAAAAAAAAAAGGTTGTAAAAAACGGGGATCTGCATCTAAACCGTGTACCACAGGTGGCCAGATTTTTTTCTTTTTATTTTTTTCGCCCTTGATTTATGTGTGTCATTCTTGCACAGGGGCCATGCCAATCTTCTTTCTCTGTATCCCTCCAATCTTAATGGATGTCCCAGAGGTAGAAAGCTATGCTTGCAGGGGTCCCCTGTATAGCCTTAGGAGTGACAGGGTTAGTTTAGATGAGAATGCCTTTGGATAGTTTCAAGGCTTTGTGTTGACTTTGTGTTGTTTGTTGCCTACCGCCTTTAGAAGCGGTCTGATTCAGTCGTCGTACATTTGGGCCCTGCGACGACGCCAGGTCCCTTTTGAGCCCGGGACCACAGTGTGGTTTTGTTTGGTTTTTGGCTCTGAGTAGGACGGTCCCCTTGAGCCCGGGACCACAGTGTCTGAGTTTGGTTTTGGCTCAGACTAGTACGGTAACAGTAAGATGAGCGCACCAGTATATATGAATGGTTGAGTAGCGATATTTCTCTCTGTGCGCTATCGATTTTCGGTAGCGCCCGTTGGATTGTTGGACGTGTGAGGTGGCCACGGGGTGTTGTGGACCGAACGGTGGTGTGCTTAAACGTGTTATTTGAATCAGTCATTCTCCATTACACCTTTGTTTGTTTAATCATGTCATGTTTATCATGTCATCATCTGAATTTGAGTTTTCGCATAATACGTGTTGCGGCGCATGTGAACCTGCCCAGGTTAACTTTCTGGGAGTGAGTGAGCACGTTGTTGAGATTTTAGTCAAAGTTTTTACTATGCTTGGGAGTGACGACAGCGATTTGGAAGACCGCATGTAGACGCAACCCTGGTCAATTGCACTGACCTGTGTTGCGGGCTGTGAGAACATGAGTGGAGGTGATCGTGGGTACGATAGGAATGACTGACGGGATCGGTATCACCATGACAGTGGATGGCGCGGACATGGGGAGTCAAGTCGCGACCGATCGTGAGAAGCAGATCGTGAGCATCAAGATTACCGGCATGAGATGACTGCGAATGAACTACCAAGATGTCCTCCTCCGATTTGTTTCGGGTGCAAAGTTCCTGGACATTATCGGAGTGACTGTTGGAAGTTTTGGGCGGATCCTGCATCTAGAAGGCAAGCTCGATCCGAGGGCTATGTCTGCCCACCGGAGTTTGACCGTCGAGGACGTTCAGCGTCACCTCGAAGATCGAATGGAGCCACCATCCAGCGCTCGCCATCAGTGGACTCAAAGACCGTATCTAGGATTGACGAGTTGGGCCAGAGTGTGGCCACTTTGTGGGAATTTGTTGACCTTGAGATGGCACGACGTAACGAAAAAGAGAAGAAACAGCATGAGCGGGAGGAAACACGACGGCGTGAAGAAGAGGAGCGTAAAGCCGAAGCCATAAGAGCGGCCAAGAAAGCAGACAAGCTAAGGAAGCGTGAAGAAGAGCAGTTGGAGATGAGCAAGGCACTGGAAATGCAACTGTCACTGCGTCTTGGCAATATTCGTGACGATATCCGAGAGGAAATCCGAAGAGCGGTCGGGGCTACTATGAAGGGGAAAGCAAAGGTTGCCAAAGATATCCCATCGACATCGGGATCTGAAACAGGATACAATGAAGTGGAAGTGATTACCCAAGGAACGGAGCAACTGGCGATAAGTGAAAAGAGAAAGAGAGGAGAAGAGACCCCCGTGGGCAATAGCCCACCAGTGAAGACGCCAACGAAGCGTGCAAATAAGCGCACAACCGTCAATCCTCCTCGTTTCTCAGAACGGTTGCAGCGAACTCGTACACGAATCACCAAGAAAGGAGTATGTGCGCTTGTTAATAAAGCGCAGACAGCGATCAAGCCACCCGCTCGCGATATGGCGATGGAACGGATGATTTACCTGGATAGAACGAGACGTGAGCTGGTGCATTGCAATTGTGACCAGTTACGTGTATTCTGCCAAGAGGAAGGGGTTGGAACCGTTGGATTCATCACTAAGGTTCAGGCGATTTTTTATATTGCTGATGCGAGAGCACGGGTCCGTTTTGATGAAGGTAAGTGTGAAATAGGTGAGGAAGAGACGTGGGACAAAGATGAGAAGTCAAGTCACGAAAATTCGAACTTAGATCCGATTAACTGAAATGGGAAATCGGTCGAATTTTGGGTAACTATCCACGATGTGTTAGTTGGCTATCGGCGTGGTTTTAGTTGCACGGATCTCAGCGCTGAACTGATTTTTCGACTGTTGGTAATATATCTGGCCTTGCGTGGGCGTAGATTCATGGATTGGAATGTATAGACGTTATGGTATCGAATTCTTGTCAAAGCATTGCTGCGTATATGTAATCACTTATGTGTTGTGCAAATCACAATGCGTAGGACCTGGTCAGACTTCAAGGGAGCCTTATACGAGATGGAAAAAACATGCCTCTGTTTGGAAAGGAAGGGCGAGATAGTCCCGTCTGTATAGATGGTGGATGAGTTTCAGAATTGAATCGTATGTACTTATATCTATAGAATTCGGTATTGAGAAACACTTACTGGTCATTGAGTCTTCCTTCATTAGGCAACAGTCCCCTTACCTGAATACAGTTGGATGTGTGGTGATCTCGAAGAAGAAGAACAAACGCAAAGGAAAAAGGGAAAGGGGAAGTGTTGGTAATAGGGAATCACCCGCTATTTGTCCTATCTGGGTAAGGGTCGCTGATTTGGAGGAATCGACAGTGTATGTGTTTGAAAGTTTACGCCAATAGGATGAAAAAAATAATAGGGAATTCAATTTAATTGCTGATTTTTGGAACGTTTGGATTGACGGATGGAGGAAGTTACGGAAAGGTTTGGGATTTCTAATGTACGAGTTAACAGTGTGTTGGGCTGCTTAAAGGACTTTCGCTCTGATTCTGAGCAAGGGTGCACTGTCCAAGTTGTGTATTTGAGGCGATGGAAACCACGTGTTGGACGTGATAAACCCTTCTTCATTTCGCTGCTAAGAAACCAGCAGAGATTCGAAGCCCTAAAGAAATAGAACCTTCATTCGTTATCCCAACTTTTTACGTCCGTAAAATAATTCGAGAAGAAAGGAACCAAAACGTACTTAAAACGTACGATAGCTAGATGTGTACATGTGTGCTTTGGTTTCAATTTTTCTGCAAGAATTGTGGTTCGACTGTTGTATGATAATTGTGTTAGACTTTCGGAGGTTCAAAAATTGGTTAATGATAAGATGAGTGGTTCATGTCTTCCACCTTGTGTCAAGTTATGTGCACGACATAAGATCCAGATTATTTGGAAGTAGAATCCAAGTATCGCGGTTCTCTTGCACAATCAGGGGATTTTTGCTCGCGCTGATGTGTTAGCCTGATGTTGCCCAGGTCTGCCTTACCCCCGGGTAAGAGGTCACATGCAGTTCCGTTTGCATGAGTTAGAAGGTGTACCTCGATTTTTGTGCAATCCAAGCAATGTTCCTAAACATCGAAGGGTCGATCGTATTAGCACCTTGAAGTGTGAGATTGAGACAACTTTTCAGTCGTGGCCGAATGGGAAAGGGCTACGAGTTTGTTGTTCTAGTGATGAATTGGTGCAGTGTATGCAGGCGGGATTACCTGAGCATAATAATGCGATGTGCCAGGATGAATTTCTTGAGTGGAAAAGGAAGTTCGATGGGTTGGTATTAACACCACTGGATAGGAATCCGGGTGTTACCATGGTGATGTGCCCAAGGTTATACTATGAGGGAATGATGGTGTTATTCATCAGAAATGATGGTTATTCGATTGTCCCTATGGATGTGAAGAATTTGTTGTTGAGTGCATGTGATGATCTGAAGAAAGATGAGATCATGGACTTCGCGAGATGGGATAAGAAAGGAACCTTTGGGCATGTGTATGCGATGCCGAAACACCAGTATCCGGATCGATTCCGACCAATTTGTCCCTCATTTTCTGAACCCCCGTAAAAAAACAGCAAAGCTGTCGCGAAAGGGCTTAATCACCTATTAAATTTCATCCCAGTGGATTGACACTTCAATCTTAAGGCCGTATCGTTGTTAACAAAATCTTTTGAGAGGTGCAATCGGCAAATGGTTAGGATCGGTGCTTCTGTGGTCGAATCTCGGTCTTACGATGTGAAAGACATGTTTAGCCTACTTTCTCACGACGACATAATTCGAGTCACTGAATGGTTACTGGAGTATCATGCCTCGAAGAATAGGAGTTTTGTGAGAGTTAATACGCGTGGCCGAGGTGCGTCGTTTGGACTGAGTACTGGCTATGACCACTGAAGAAGGTTGGAGTTTGAAGACATTCAGCGTTTTGTTAAGTTTAAACTGACTCACACTTATACCTTTGCTTTATCTGTTCTACTCAAACAAGAGGTGGGCATACCGATGGGGAAACGTGCCAGCCCGCCCTTGGCATGCATATTGTGCGCCAAGGCAAAATTTGACTTCTTAGTAGCTTAGGCAAATCACATGTGAATGTGTTTGGGTTACGATTAATGGATGACGTTGGATTGATTGTGGACAATAATGGAAGCCGAGATGAAAACCACAGGATTTTCCAGAACTTCGAGTCTTGTTACCCCCGTAATCTAACACCGAAGCGTACTGATTCAGAGGGTAATGTTTGGGATTTCCTAGGGTGTGAAATAAGGATACGAAGTGTCGTTCCCTTTGTGGAAAGTGTCCAGTTGTCAAAGAACGAGGAGACTATTTGGACATCAAAGAAACTTGAATTCCTAAACAGTCATACTTTTTACTCCTGGGGAACTAAAGCGCAAAAAAAATGTTGTGATTGCTAGTTACCTCCACAGGATTGACAGGAATACCTCGGTGCGATCGGAAATACCCAGGAGGGTGATAACTCTAAAGAGAGAGTTACGCTTGAAGCTGTTTCCAGAAAAAATCTTCAATCGGGTTCTAAGAAGCTTCTCGCGTGGCCGTGATGAGCCTTGGCAATAGACCTGTTTTGTGCTCACATTTGTTTGATAGGCTGATTTTTTGGAGTGACAGGGTTACTAGTTGAGATGAGAGTGTCTTTGGATAGGTTTAAGGCTTTGAGTTGTTTGTGGCCTACCGCCTTTACAAGCGGTCTGATTCAGTCATTGTACCTTTGGGCCTTGGGACAACGTCAGGTCTCTTTTGAGCTTGGAACCACAGTGTGGTTTTGTTTGGTTTGGGGCTCTTAGTAGGATGGTCCCCTTGAGCCTGGGACCACAGTGTCTGAGTTTGGTTTTGGCTCCGAGTAGTCCGGTAACAGTAAGATAAGCGGACCAGTATATATAGAATGGTTGAGTACTACTATTTCTCTATGTGCGCTATCGATTTTCGATAGCGCCCGTTGGATTGTTGGACGTGCGAGGTGGCCACGGGTTGTTGTGGACCGAACGGTGGTGTGCTTAAACGTGTTATCTGAATCAATCATTCTTCATTACACCTATGTTTGTGTAATCATGTCATATTAACTTTATCATATCATCATCTAAATTTGAGTTTTCTCATAATACCTTAGGAGTAGTGGTAGGTAGGTAGTGAAAAGAAAGACATATCCCATGATGAAATGGTAGAACACCAGTTAAAAAATATGTGAGGTCACTGAGGTGAGAGAAAACTATATGGCTGTCCTCCGATGAGGAGAAGGCAAAAAAATAAATAAATAAACAAGTGGCAGAATTGTATGCTGAGAACCATAAGGTATAGCCTCAGGTTACGCGCGCGCTAACGCAGCGGCAACACTGCGCTAGCGCGTCACTATTACGATGCGCGGGTAGCGGAGGATCGCACGGGGGCAGCGGAGGATAAGTTGCGCTTAGCCAGAACTTGCTGTTGGGTATGGCGGAGGTAGAGAGGTGATAGAGTGTGTGCGCACTGAGGTGGAGGCCGCTTCGAGGGAGCACAACCATGCACCTGCCATAGCCTAATCTTGGCCGAAGAAAGTTGGTAATGGAACCCTGGGTAATCAATGCTGGCAGGAACCCCCCACAATTGTTTTCTGATGTACTCCAAATTCAGTTTGTATAAGGGACGCTGGACCCGCTTTCCAGCAGGTGATGCTCCTCACCAATAGATGGAGTCTCTCCCCATGTGCTAGTGGTGTCTGCTCTTAGCACCGCTAACACTGGTGAGGGCAAGTTCAGAAAAAAAAAAAAAAAGACTGGCCGCAGAAGGAAGGAGAGAGATGTGGGGTCAGTCAACGGGCAGGATCTGCGCATTATACATATCAGTATTACTACCTGATCAAGGGATTTGCCCGCTGATTACGGAGAACGATTGTGTTGCTGGAGCGGATGCAGTTTTATCTGGATGAAGAGTTGGAGATGAGGGATGAGAGCGCATCGATAAACGTCGACATTCGGGAGACAGATGACGGACTTCATTCCGTGATCGGTATCGTCCACCGTCGCTGACAACGGACTTCAAGTTGTGAGTGGGGCTGTCCACTGTTGCCCTTGCTCCTACTTCGGGCGGAGTGTTGCTTAAGATTTTCTGATTTCTGGTGCTCTGACAAATCATTGACTGTGCTTCCCTAAATAGCAAGCGTTGTGTTCTGTGTGGTGAGTATAGATGATTGTGTTCTCCTAGATTATAACCATTAGGCCAAGTCTTGTTAGTATAGAGTAGTACCTGTCATGGTTGTTCGGGGCGTGTAATTGGTACTTTGTGGACTGGTGATTCAACAAGTAGGGTTGTGATAATTTCAATTAGGGTTGGTGTCGATTGTGTTAGTGCTTTTAAGATGATTTTCGAAGTGTTACCTCGTTGTTAGTCCGTGGGTAAGTCCATGCCATCATTGGGGATTTTGTTTGTGTTCTTGGTTGGTAGTGGGTAAGTAGGATGACACCATTGAATATTTTGTTTAGGTGTTTTTGGTTGGTAGTTTGTTATCTAGCTTGGATTCCACTAGATTAGGGTTGTTTGATAATGGTGGTTTGGAGAAGGGGTAGATTAGGAGTTGATTTTTGTTCAATTAGGGAATGCGAATTTCGTTTTAGGGTTGGGATTGGGATCATCGGTTTGGTAACCTTGTGGGGCTGTGGTGGGGATAGGTTTGGCCGGGAGTGCCTTGCTTAGCCCGTTTGACGGCAGCAAATGATGTGAGGGACACCAGGCCCGTTTCCCGGCTATATGAATATGGAATTTTTCTTTAAAAAAAATAATAATAATAAATAAGTAGATGGTTAGTAGGTTTTTTTTTTTTTTTTTTTTTTTTTTTCAGATGTAGTTT